TCCCTGCCAAATCTTCCTCTCTTTTCTGCTGAAGTATTTCCCATCCCACCATAAGATTATTCCTTCAACAGACCCAGGTAAAGCCCTTTGAACATCCAACTAGTTTAGCATTTCAGCCCACACATTCCAAACAAATGGGCAAGACACCAACACATGATCCACAGATTCATTCATAATTTTGCAGAACACACACAAAGTTGAAGCAGTGTTTTGAAGCTGTAATAACCCTCACCACTGATTACTGATTAAGCCACTGATTACTGCTAAACCGAGACTGATCATGATAAGTAATTGAACTGAACTGATTGATTGAATGTGCTAGTTTAAGTGCATACCTATCTGTTGACTGTTGAAATTTATCTATTTATGTTGTATGCTTTAAACTGCAAATTGAAGGCCTTATCGGCGGCCGAATCTGAAATTGATTGATGATTTATGATAATTAGAATTTATGTGATTTTATGGTGTATTTATCCGAAATGTGATTTGGTATGATTTAATTAGATTAAATAAGGATAAATTGCAATAGTTGGCTTAATTGCCAATTTGCCATCCTAGTGGGCCACTTGCTAGACACTTGTGAGACTTGGTCATATACATTGCATATCATTTCTTCAGCCCTTTTGTGAGCTATAGCCGACTAGGGAGAGAAAGTGAGAGGAAAAGAGTGATTTCAACAAATTTAGCTTGGTGACTTGAAGAAATTGAAGGTTGATTGCATAATTGAGCTTCTAGTCTTGTGATTGGAGACCTAAGGTAGAGAATTCAACCTCTCTTTGATGTATTTGTGTGTTGTCTTGCATGATCCTTGAGAAATTGGAGATTCTAGCTAAGAGTTGGTTCATAATGTTGAATTGTAGCATATATCATGCATGCATGTTGCCATTCTTGAGTTTTGAAGTTATTGTTCATGAGATTGTTTCATGCATGTTCATTTTTTGATCATAGTTCATGATTTTACCATGTTTTAGAAGGAATTGGCTCATTAAAGCATGTAATTGAAGCTTTGAATTGGTTTAAACTCATGCATGTCATGTTTGAGTTATGTTCCTGACAATGGGTTTGAAATTGGATTTAATTGAACTACCTTTGGGCTTTGATTTCTCAAATTGACCTTTGAAACATGTTATACTATGGGTTTTGAAGTGTTTTCCAGAAAATTAGCCCAAAATGATCGAATTTGGTACATTGAAACTTGTTTTTGAGCTTGAGGTTCAAATATGGAAATTCCAGATTTTGGACTCACGCTCGAGCGGAGTGACTGGCGCTCGAGCGTGAAATTCGTGCATCCAGCACTTTACACTGTTTTACAGTCTGCTCGAGTGGGGTATTGGACGCTCGAGAGAGGACTTGTGTCACACGCTCGAGCCGGTATCGAGCGCCCAATCGAGCGTGATTTTCACACATCTAGTACTTTTTCAGTCCGCTCGAGCGGGAAAGTTTACGGTCGAGCGTACCCTTTTGTTTTCATGTTCGCTCGAGCGGGGAATCCCACGCTCGAGCGAGACCCCTGTTTTCTGACAACTCTGAAAATGTTTTCTAAGTGTATCTTTGCATCCTCATTTCATTCTAAGCATTCTTAGGCCTAGTTTAAGACATCTTAATAAGGAAATTGATGTAGAACCACACCGAGTCAAGATAGGGATTAAGTTACTATTTTTCCCAAATGTGTAGCTTAGTGTGTGTTCACTCTGTAACTGTGTAGGGTTGGCATTCGAAGACGCGCTCTAGCTTTTCTGTAGCCCAGAACTCTGTGAGTAACAATATTGTAAAGATATGTTCGAAAATGAATATTTTCTGAATGATCAATTGAACTGTTTTCTGAACTGTTTACCGTTAACTGAATGAATATTGTCCTCTATTCTGAACTGTATTGTGGCATCCTTAGCAACTACTGTTACTGTTACTGCTACTGCTACTGCTACTGTTATAGAGATCTCTGTCGGTTCTTATGTTTGGAACTATTACTGATGGCCATCATTGACTGTTCGGTCTTTCAAGACCTACTGTTTACTGTACTGTTCTGTTATTGGATGTACCACATATGACTGTTATGACTGAATGACTGATATACTAAATCAATTGACTGTTTTCAATACTGAGAGGACATTCATTCTTAACCTCTTTACGCATTATGTTATTCACTGGGCTTTAGCTCACTGCTCATATATATATGTAGGCGTACAGGCACCAGACCGGAGCTAGGAGCGTGGGTTAGACTCCCTTTTGTCAAAGCCAACCACTGTGCCTCACTGCAAGGTTCCGAGCCTGTCAAGCTAGGGCTTCGGGGGTGTTTTAGTTTTCCCATTTTTGCATCTATTTTGTAATTACTGTATAGATTGAATGACATCGTACTGTACTGTTATGGTAGGGATCTGGTCCCTAACCTGAATATCTGTATATGATATATGTATGTACTTTTTTGTTCTGAATGTGCATATATATGAAAAGTCCTTTTACATGCAGACTGTCACAGCTCATTGGACATTGTCTATTTACTATTTTGGCTTCTGCCATGCCCCTGTACTATGTATTATTGTTTGACTGTTAAGCAGGCCATCGGTAATCTCGGATTACTGGCCGGTTACGGTGTTAAACCCATAGGGGCGGGTTTGGGTCGTGACAGAAGCACACTAATTTTTTGAAGAAACACAGAGGTCTTAAGTCAACTCCTTCATGCTAGCCACCCAAAAAATTGTACTTTGGGAGGCAAATATTTAACCCAAACCAGTTTGCTTATTCTCAAACTAGGGTCAGCACTTGCACAAGCCCCCTGAAAAACAGAAGACACAGAAAAAGCACCAGATGAAGCAGCTACCCACACAAGCTTATCTACTTGATCAGCCACAAGACCAGGAGCTGTATCCAGAAGATTTCTAAGCCGAAGAACCTCACTCTCTTCCCAGTGATATAACCTTCTTCTGAAATTGAACTTCCAATGCCCTTCCACTTCTTTTCTCACATACCCTGTTCTTACTGATTCCTCTTTTTCTATAGTCAGCAGAAATAAGCCAAGAAATTCCTCTTTTAAACAGGTAGAGTGACACCATTTGTCCCACCAAAACTTGACTGAACTCCCATCCCCCACCTTTATCTTCCAGTTATCTATGTAAAATCCCAAAATTTGGCCATTTGATGAAGCAATGTTGCTGATTGCCATCCAAACACTAGACACCTTACTACTAGTACAGGGAGATGGTACCCACTCAGTAAATCTCACTTTATACTTACTACAAATCACCCTTCTCCACAACGTTTCTTTTTCATACCCAAACCTCCACCACCATTTAACTAATAAACAATCATTAACCAACTTCACTCTTCTCAGCCCCAGGCCCCCTTGATCCACTCTCTTAACCAGTTCCTCCCACTTCACCAGGTGGACCCTTCTCTTTATTTCAGACCCTTCCCAAAGAAAAGATGCCTACAGCCTCTCAATCACTCTAACTACCCATTGAGGCATTTTAAATAAGGATAGATAGTACACAGGCAGTAAGGCCAAGACAGATTTGATCAAATTTAGCCTACCAACATAGGACAAGAGCTTCTTCTCCCAACTAGCAAGTCTGCAACAGACTTTATATTGCACTGGTTTCCAAGTATCTTTCCTATTAGGATTAGCTCCCAGTGGCAGACCTAAATATTGCATGGGCAATTTATTAATCTTACAGTTAAGGATAGATGCAAACTTGGCTAAAGATTCCTCTGGAACACCCACTCCACATACTTGACTTTTGTGATAATTTATTCTCAGACCAGACATAATCTCAAAGCACCTTAGTATTCTCTTCAGCTTTCTGATCTCCTTAGCTTCAGCTTCACAGAATAATATAGAATCATCTGCAAACTATAGATGAGAGACCACCACATCAACATCACCTAATTTCACACCCTTAACTATTCCCATAAGGGGACAGTAAAATGTTTAATCCTTCACCAACCAAATTAAACAGAAAAGGGGACAGTGGGTCACCTTGCCTCAAACCCCTTTGGGGACTAAACTCAGCAGTTGGGGATCCATTGACCAAGACTGAAATATTAGCTGTTGCCATACATTCCAAAATCCATTGAATCCATCGGTTACCAAACCCAAAATTCACCATCATTGAGCATAGAAAGCCCCAATTTACTGAATCATAAGCCCTTTCAAAATCAAGTTTAATTATCACTCATTTCTTCTTCGATTTCTTCCATCCATTTACAACTTCATTAGCAATCAATACACCATTTAGGATATTTCTCCCCCCTATATTGGGTCTCACTTATGATGCTAGGAAGTACATCTTTGAGTCTCTTAGAAAGCACATTTGATAGAATTTTATACACATACCCAACAAGACAAATAGGCCTATAATTTGCTAGTCCCACAGGATTCTCCCTTTTGGGTATAAGAGTAACAAAAGAGCTATTTAACCCCGTCACCAACCTTCCATTCATATGGAAATCCCTCATAAAGGTAAGCACCTCCTTTTTTATCACCTTCCAACATTTTTGGAAACAAAGCATATTAAACCCATTTGGCCCAGGAGCCTTGTTTCTGCCACAATCTTTTACTGCTGCCTTGATCTCTGCCTCTGTAAACTCTGCTTCCAACCGCTCATAGTTTGGACTGCTATGAGCTGATTTAAAAGTGCCTCCTAATTAGGTCAATTCACCCACTCTTCAGAAAATTGTGTCTTGAAATGTTCCATGATCTCTAACTTCACTTGACTTGGTTCTTCCAATTCTATGTCACCAATAGTAATAGATGTTATTTCATTTCTATATTGTCTGCCCTTGACCATCACATGAAAAAATCTGGTATTCCTGTCCCCTTCCAGGTTCCAATTCAACCTTAATTTCTGTAGCCACACCCATTCCTGCATTCTATTAAGTCTCCAAACCTCGTCTACCACTGCTCTTCTTCTAGCTTCCTCAGATTGTTCAAGCACCCTAACCTCAGCCTGGAGATCAAGGTTATGTGCCTCTTCCTCTGCTACTTTCAATTTGTGTGCCATATTTCAAAAGACCTCCTTATTCCACTGCCTAAGTGCTATTTTCAATGCCTTCAGCTTTTTCTGTAGTATAAAACCAGCCCAACCCATAACCTCTGACTCTTTCCAAGTTTTATCCACAAAAGAGAATAGATTCAGATGTAAACACCAAGCATTCAGGAACCTAAACGGCTTTGGACCCCAGTCCCTTTCATTCTCCATCAAAAGTAGTGGACTATGATCGAAAATAAGTCTAGGTAACCTCCATAATTTTAAGTTAAACACCTCCATCCATCTTGGGTCCACCAACACTCTATCTATTCTACTCCATTTTTCACTAACCATTGAGTTACACCATGTAAATTTCCTACCCAGTAAAGGTAACTCATTTACTTCACAGGTCTCAATGAAATCATTAAAATCTGTCATACCCCTATCCCTTCTGGAGCACCCTAGCCTCTCCCCAATATTTCTAATTTCATTAAAATCCCCACACAAGCACCAAGGTTTAGGAAAATCATGTTTCAGATTAATTAAGCTACCCCACATTTTCCTTCTACCACCCACATCATTAGGTGCATAAATATTTAAAATAACACACTCAAATGAATTGTATAAAGAACCCGATAGAAGAATAAACCTTCTACTGCTGCAACAGTCAGCCAGCTGAAAACACCACAGGGTCCATATACATAAGAGACCTCCAGCTACTCCTTCAGGATCCACTACCATATATTCCATTCCATTCCTTACCCACATTGCTCTAACATCTTTTTTTTTGTGAGATCAGCCTTCTTTGTTTCTTGGAGCATCACAAAATCCACATTTCTATCCTTCACCAATTTCCTTATCTTTCATTTCTTCTCCTGTCTTCCAATTCCTCTAATATTCCAGACTAATATCTTCATAAAAAATGTACAAATCACCAAATAGACCTCTTTGCACTTGCAACCTACACAGCTGCCCCTTTTTCCCCTTCATTCCTCTCCGTATCCTTCCTTTCAAGTTCTACCATTTTATTTAGAACATCCTCTTCCCTCCCATTATAATCCACCCCTAATAATTTCCCTAACTGGAGTGTTGCTTGAGCTTCATCAAGAATTAATCTTCCTCCATCATTCCCCTTCTCCATCACCGATGATAATGAAGCTTCTATTACAGCTACTCTGAGTAAGACATTTCTAGGACCTGATTTACTTGATGAAGCTCCCTTGTTGCCATACATTCGCACAAGATCAAAGAACCCCCTTTCTGAGGCTGATTCTTGTAGATGGCCTTTTGACTACATTTTTTCTTTCCTTTTTTCTTTTTATTTTCCTCCCCTATTTTGCTTTTGGTTAGCTGGGCTGTCGGGCCAGTTGACAAACTAATATATGACCCCCCTTTCTTCAGACCCTTCTTGTGAACTACAGGGTAAGGTACTCATCCCAGCTCTTACAAATTGTAGCCCACCCAAATCTTTTATCTCCTGATGAAGGCCCAATTATACTTCCAGACTTAGTCCAGGCCTTTCCAAACTAGACCCACTTAAGCTCCTCATATACCCAAGCGTGCATAGTTGACCATCCCAATTCTGACACTGCACTGCACAACCGTAGTTCTGCTTCCCTACCATCATCATTTTTTGGCCAGCCACTTTCTCGAGCTCCTTCCCTACTCCTCCATCAGACTCTGCAACCACTGTCTCAGTCGTCCCTACATTCTCTTTGTCTACTCCTTTGCTTACATGGAAGTTATTTGATATTGATCCTCTATCCACCTTAGTATTTTCCTTCACCTTATTAGCTGACTCAATTACCCTATCATCATCTTCTTCCCCTTCCCTGCTTCTTACATTCCTAAATTGATAAGCCTTACCAGTTAGACTGGACTCAGCAGCAAGGTGCGTATGATTTTAACAAACACACTCTTCCTTAAGTGTTTAGACTATAACCCTTTGTTCTTCACATACTCTAACTGGGTAAACCACCCCTTTGCACTCTAAGTTTACTACTTTATTTATTTGCTCCATGCACTTTGTGTAGATTTGCATCTTACCACTAACAAACGACTCTTGCTGGCATGACTCCTCAAAACAAATAATCTCGTCCCATAATCTACCGATCTTATGCATATTGGTTCTATTCCACAGATTCAGAGGGATGCCCTAACAACTGATCCACACGCTCTTTTCTTGCTCCATTGCTAACCCTGCCTCCCATGTAACCACATCTTTGCACCAGTTCCCAATCATTTCCTTTACCTCCTTTAATTTTGAGTGCATTTCATTTTTTGACTTGAAAGACAACATCCTGTCTCAGCCTCCACCTTTCCTTACCACTACTTCTTTCATTCCTCTTTCTTCAAGTTCCAACTTCAAATTAACGGTTGCATATTGAGTCTTCATACGGAGTATCACACTCTCATACAGCCACCCATTCCCTATTTCTTTAGCCTTAACTGTAACTATTCCTCCTAAAACAGTAGGTTCCCCTTGTACAACCTGCAGAGAGGACCTCTGGCCCATGTACTGGTTCGGACCTCTTCCTCTTTTATGCTCTTTTTGTATCTGTACTACTGGTCTCCTCTCCTGGGGTTGCCCACATCCTTTCTGTTTCTTTTTTCGTCCAAAATCAGCCCATTTAATTTTTGATGCCTTGTCCTCCACCCACAAATCATTAGCCTTTTGAATTGCTACTTTTGCTACCACTTCACAACTGAACCTCATAAAGCCAAATCTTGAGTTAGTCATCTTCCTTCTCTTTTGTGGTATGAATACATCTTTCACCACTCCAAACTTGTTAAACAGATTGAATATACTTTTCGGATCCAGATCTTGTGGCAGATTATCAACAAACAGTGTGCAGATACCTAAATGAGCATCTTTTCTCCTCCCTCGTGGCCTCCCTCTCCGGTTTGCAATCGGAATCCAACCACCACTACCAGCCCTCATGGTTATACCGAACAATAGTATTATTGGTATTTGATGCCTGTGGATAATTACTTTTTAGTTCAGATTTATTTTTATTTTTTTAGAAAGAGGCCTATAAATTTTCTCAGCATTTCTGGTAGAAATTAAGACCAGAATATGCACCGTAGCTTACATTATATATGGTAATGCTATTGTTAGCTATATATTTTGTACAAACTTATTGCGGCCTGACACGTGGATTATAAGGTGCAATTTGGGGAATTAGGGAAGGTCTCTAATCATCAACAGACACGTGGCGACTTGTAGCAGTGGCAATGGATCCGTAAGACATAGGAATAGTCAAGACACACAAGGTGACGTGCCAAACGATTTCGTATAATTTGAATTCAAATTCAGGAACCGCAAGAGTGGTATAGTGGAAATAAACTATTTAAAGCCATGACCAGTGATCATGGAACTCACTTCGACAGTTATTATCTATTTCGACGGTTATCATCCACTTCGACGGTTATCATCAGAGCCTATAAATAGAGGAGGATACTGATAATGGAAGGGCCCGAAAACCGATCCAGAAACCAGTTTATTTACTTTGCATTTTTATTTCCAGTCCTTTACTTTCCAGTCCTTTATTTTACAGTTATGTATTTCAAATTCCTAGGAGTAGCTCTAAAATAGTCTGTTGTTATAACCCCTTTCGAAGCTGTAAAAGTGCAAAGGTACAATTACAAACTCCTGTTTGCTTAATGAAATTTGATTTCTAAACATTGTTTTGTCCTCTTGCTTTTACTTTGATTACTCTTCCTAATTTTCTCCTAAAAATCAAGCCACCAGTAAAAATCCTCTTTATTGAGGTTAAAAAGAATTTCGAAACAATCATCTAACTAAATAGTTGGCATTTACTAATCTTTGTAAGGACTTATTGATTCTTGCTAACACGCTCGAATTACTAATAGAATTTTGAAATTTTCAAGTGAGTTAAAAAAGTAATAGGTGTTACTTAAAGTGGTGTGGTGGGGGCCTTTTTTTGTCACCGTATGTTTTGGAGGACCTATACTAGTATAAAAAATTATGTATCCTTCTAAAAAAATGTTATTAGCGATCTGAAAATAAAATTTCCTTTATAAATTTTCATTGGTAATTTGAAAAAAGGAAAAGAAAAGAAAGAAATGATGATTGAAAAAATGAAAAAGAAAAATAATAATTGTGTCAAAATAATATTTGCATCACATTATTAAAATGTAATAGGGTAAATTACATTAATCTCTCTTAAGTTTAGAAAAAAATACAAGAAGATTCATAACTTTAACATAATTACGTAGATCTCTCTTTGGAAATTTTAAAGAGATTGGAACTGATGCAGATAATATGAAAATACAAAAATGAATAACATATAATATGCATTTCAAGATACATGAGATAACAACGTTATTTTTTCTGTTCATATAACTAACAATTTTTTGATAAAAATAAAGTTAAGTTTTATGTGAATTAAAATATTATGAAAATTTTATATAATTATAATACTAAACTTGTCAGTGTACTTGCTCCAAAATTTTGGCATTAGATCTTGAGAATATGACTAGTGAAAATGCTCCAATGCTTCAAAAGACACAAAATAGCAACTGCAATGCGATCTCTACAATGTTGGGCCGGCATCCATCTCTATCATAATATGGGAAGCTCTTATAAAACTATATAGAAGTTTGTGATCTCTCTACATTCCTTTTCTTCAATGGGCTGATTTGATTATGCAGAGAGCATCCTACCTTCGAAAACTAAAAAAATGCTAGGACGGCAGCCGGCATTGTTTTTGATGTCATACACAAATTTAATACATTTCATCGTTTATATATATAAAATAACAATACTATTAAATATATCAGTCAGTGGATTGTTACTAATATCTAGAGTGTGTACATGTTTATTAAAATCAATTAAAAAATTGTATAAATTTTGTGAAGATACTTTGAGATGCATAAAAATTTATAGATTTATTAAAATGACCCTTAAGACATGTTTGTTTGACAAACTAGAGTAGAAAATGTTGGACAATCTTCACTGTATTTAAAAAGATTAAATTCTGTTGTGTACAAAATAATAACAAGAATAAAAGAAATAGAGAAAAGGAGAGAATATGTTTGATTACAAAAATCAAACTTAAAATAAAAATAATAAATAAAACCACAGATTTTATTTTGTTACAAAAACAACATTAAAATCTGATTAAATAAACAAATAAAAACAGAATTAAATTAAACAACTTACTTGGTTAATTTATATGAATAATTTTTCTGATCAAGTCCAGTGTTTGACACTGTGTCCTTAAGACAGATTCGTCCTCTCCACGGTACTTTCAGAATATGGACGTCTATCTCCCAGGATGAAATATAATTCAATAATCAACATAAAAGATTTCTTAAATTACCTTCCAATTAAACAGACCGATATAAATACATACATCTTCATGTTTAAATTTCTCTGGTGTTTAAACACCCATTCAAATTGATTAGAAATATTCAAATTAACCTGCATTCAAATGTTCTTGTGAATATATATATTTACCGACTCATGTGCAGAAACTATTCATGACAACGGATCCACACACAGAAAATAAAGAAAATAATCTTGCCACAAAGGTTTCTTCGTAATAAAAATGAAATTAGTTTGTAAAACTAATATTTTATTCTAAAAACAAATTCTACCATGTATACTCACGAAGAACTATGATAAAGTCAAAATAATTAACTCCTTTTCACAAAGGGTTCAAAAATAAGTGGTCTACCAAACGAAACCATAAGTTACTTATAAAATTAACAGATTGTGACCGAGTCACAAAGTTACATGATTGATTAACAAAATTAATTTTCTAGTTACTAAAACCAGAAAATAAATTAAAACAACAAAATAATTTTATTTTCCTTGTTACTAAAACTAGTGAAATAAAATACCGAAATAATATCTGATTACAAAAATCAAAAAACCAAACCACACATTAATTTTCTAGTTACTTAAACCAGAAAATAAATTATAACCCAAAATCATTTATTTTTCTTGTTACTAAAACTAGAAAATACTGTAATTTTATTTTCCTTGTTACTGAAACTAGAAAATAAAATACCACAAAACTATCTGATGACAAAAATCAGAACAAACACAAAATAATTTTCTAGTTACCAAAATCAGAAAATAAATTAAAACACAAAATAATTTTCTAGTTACCAAAATCAGAAAATAAATTAAAACACAAAATAATTTTCTAGTTACCAAAATCAGAAAATAAATTAAAACACAAAATAATTTTCTAGTTACCAAAATCAGAAAATAAATTAAAACACAAAATAATTTTCTAGTTACCAAAATCAGAAAATAAATTAAAACACAAACAAGTTTTTATTTGAGTTTTTTAAATTTTTATAAATATAAACAGAAAACTGAAAACGTAAGTGTTACCAGACGGCACCTTAGTATTCCACAATCATAGAATTATCAATTCTTTTGAATTTTGTTTCGTATCTTAGGTTTGGATTGTCTCAAGATTATAAAAAGGGATTGAGAAAATCTTTTCAATTTTACAATTTAACTAATTAGTATCAAGCGATTTGTAGTCCTCCATTTGTATCCTACAACCCCTTTTCGGATTCATTAGGTCCTCATATATGCGCTACTATGTCTAGATAGATTATTAGTCCATATCCTAATTTTTGCGATAAAACAACGTACTATACATTTTGTTAGATTATTAGTCCAATCTCAATGTTATGTCCATCTAAGCAAATATGATCTTATTATATTATGGACCAAACTTCTCTCCAATCCACGATGGTGCAATCTGGTCCTATGGCCCTCCACGGTTCCACTAGTTCATTTATTTATTTTATATATATATAAGTGTAAATTATTCATGAAAACTATGATACTTATCCGATAATTATAATCACAATTTGTTATATTTCTTTAAAAAAATTAATAACAATTATATAATTTTAAAATCGACTATCATTTTATTATAACAAATATGATAAAAATATGTGGTTATCTATATACTTGTGTTTTCAAAATAAAATTGATATAAGGTTCACCATCCAAACTACACCTCTCAATCCAATTGGAGAAAAGCCATCTACTTATATTATCTCCTTCAAGGTCATCAAGCCCCTTGAAATTTCTTCGTCTCTTCCCATAAACTTTCATCGGATAGGACAAAATTACACAGCAATCCAAAAAACTTGGGGCCAATCCACACATTTCATCATCCTCATAGATACTCTGTTAACTTGGTGGAAGTTGAAGATTGTGATATCCATATATATTATTCATATGATGATGATTCATATAGACAAAGTCTATGGTTATGCCGCCCAGACACCACCTCCCCCTCAACATCTCACCATCAACTAATGGGTCGTCGGCCTTTTAATTTATTAATTCAAATTCATCATCACAGCTGAAGAGCAATTTGATTTGATCAAGTTGATAACACCCAACTCCAAGTATATGTTGGCACTACTCCTTTGTAAATCACATCAACCCACTTTTCACTCTCTTTCCATATTTCATTGCAACTATGGCTTTCTTACAGTTGATTCTCTTTTGTAGGTTTTTCAGTTTCCTATTTCTAGTCCCCTTTGCAAACTCAATTTCCTTCAACTTCACCAATTTCCAACCAAACACACCAGAGATATACTTCCAAAGGGATGCATTTGCATCCAGTGGTGTAATCCAAGTCACCAAGAATCAGCAAGACAGTTCCCTCATGAGAAGTGTAGGCCGAGCCTCGTATGCTGAGCCAGTCCACATTTGGGATGCCAAAACTGGGAAGTTGACTGACTTCACTACTCACTTCTCTTTCATCATCAAAGCAGTTAATGCGAGTCTCTACGGTGATGGACTTGCCTTCTTTCTTGCACCCTTCGGGGCTGACATTCCCACCAATTCAATCGGTGGCTTCCTCGGCCTTTTGAGTAACAGCTCTGGCATCAACCCTGTTGGCAATTCTATAGTTGCTGTTGAGTTTGATACTTACCAAAATCTTTGGGATCCTAGCTCAGACCATGTCGGTATCAATGTCAACTCAATGGTCTCAGTGGCTAATGTCACATGGAAAAGTAGTATCAAGGGTGGATCAACTGCAAATGCTTGGGTGAGTTACAATTCCACTACCAAAAATTTAAGTGTATATCTAACTTATGCTAATGAGCCGGTTTTCACGGGCGATTCTAGCCTTTCATTTGTTGTTGATTTGAGGGATGTTTTGCCGGAATGGGTGACTGTTGGTTTTTCGGCTGCCACGGACCAGTGGGTTGAATTACACGAAATTCTTTCTTGGAGCTTTAATTCAACCTTAGAGGGTGGTAAAAAGAAGACGAAATCAACATTGCTGGTGGGTTTGGCCACGGGTATTGGTGCCTTGTGGTGTGGTTGCGGGTTGTTTTGGTTCATCTTGTGGAGAAAAAGGATCTGTCGGAGAAAAAAAAACACGGCCATAGATGCAATAGATGATGATGAGTTTGAGAAAGGAACTGGACCTAGGAGATTCAACTTTCGCGAACTGAGTCGTGCAACGAATGATTTTGCCGAGGCAGGAAAGCTTGGAGAGGGAGGATTTGGAGGTGTTTACAAGGGTTTTTTAAGCGATATAAAAGCTGAAGTAGCGGTTAAACGTGTCTCGCGAGGATCAAAGCAAGGGAAAAAGGAGTACTTATCCGAAGTGAAGATCATTAGCCGGCTGAGACATAGGAATTTGGTTCAACTCTTTGGTTGGTGCCATGAACAAGGTGAGTTCCTTCTGGTTTATGAGTTCCTGCCAAATGGGAGCCTAGATTTCCATCTATTTGGTGGGAAAACAAAGCTAAAATGGGCAGTGAGGTACAAAATAGCCATTGGCTTGGCTTCTGCATTACTCTATCTTCACGAAGAATGGGAACAATGCGTGGTGCATAGAGATATCAAGTCAAGTAATGTTATGTTGGACTCAAATTACAACGCCAAACTCGGTGATTTTGGCCTAGCAAGGCTTGTAGACCATGATCTAGGCTCACAAACAACTGTTTTGGCCGGCACAATGGGATACTTGGCTCCAGAGTGTGTTACCACAGGCAAAGCAAGTAAAGAAACTGATGTCTATAGTTTTGGTGTTGTTGCCCTTGAAATCTCTTGTGGAAGAAAGCCGGTTGAATTAAGGGTAGAACCAAGTAAGGTAAGGCTTGTAGAGTGGGTTTGGGACCTATATGGAAAAGGGAAGATCCTTGAAGCTGCAGATGAGGGATTAAGCAAGGAATACGATGAGCCCCAAACAGAGCGGTTAATGGTTGTTGGGTTATGGTGTTGCCATCCGGATCATACTATCCGGCCTTCTATTAGGCAAGTGATTAATGTTCTTAATTTTGAAGCTCCATTACCTAGCCTTCCGCGAAAGCTACCGGTGGCAATGTATTTTGCGCCTCCAATGAGCATGTGTAGGTTTTCGTATACATCATCTGCTAGCGTGACAGACTCGGAGAAACATCAGACTCCGTGTTCGTGTAGCAGTTGCAGTACTTCAGCAATGTCATTAGGATCGTCCAAATCTCTCTTTCAAATACGTGGTGAGAAGAATGCTCCCCGAAGGAATCAACAGTATATTGATGTTAAAGTGTAGCATATTATTTCAATTTGTTCTTTCTCCTATTTGAAAGATGGAGGAAAAAAAAAAACTTTAACTATGTGTGGTTTGTGTTTATTCTATTCTATCTGATAAAGTTTTATGGGTTCATTGTAAATTAGAGTTTGGTTCTAGTAATGAAGCCACATTGTATTATAATCCTTGCCACATTTAATTATCTCGAATTGATCCTACTTTCTTTCTTGCCAGTAACCATTGTTTTTTTATTTTAATATACAATGTGAAATTTTTACATGGATTGAACTGCATTGAAACTACAATGACAAGGTTTATAATTGATGTAGACCTCGTGATGTCTCTGGGTACCTAGATATATTGGATTCCTCGTAAGAAAAAGATAATTTTTTGTTCGGCCTGATGTTTGCAGATTCGATGTTAAGGTTCATGTTCGATGAGAAATAGCTTAATGGATAAAACATAAGGCTTTGTCGTGACCTAAGCAGATTTTGTGCAAATTCTTTTTCATTTCGACATCTGCTTTTGCAATTTTACTATTTTACAATACTTTTGTTTTGCTAATTAAAATAGATAATTGTTCAAAAGTCCAACCTAAGAAGTAGGGATGGTAATTTGAAACCGGCCCGACAGGGACCCGATCCCTTGATCCCGATTTGAACGGTTTTTTCCCAAAAAATATCCCCGACGAGGAGGGGATGGTATTTAAAAATTAATCCCCGATTAATTTCGGGCCGGGGATGGTGATTAATGCCCAATCCCCGGCCCCGGCCCCGTCCCGCCCCGCCTCGCCTTGTTTGTCCCCGACTTAGTATATATATATAAAATATACTTTATATATATTTTGTTTCTGTCTCTCTTTCTCTCTCTTTCATTTGCACACTCTCTCTCTTCCCTCTATTCTCTCTCTCGTTCTCATTCTCTCACTGCCTCTCATCTCTCTCTCTCTCTCTCTCTCACTCTCATACCTCTCCTCCCCTTCAGCGCCACCGCCTCTGTCGCCTCGCACCGCCGTCCTCCTCCGTTGTTCGTCGCAGCCACCGTCGTCCACCTCAGTCGTTCATCGCTTTCGTCTATCGCAGTTGTCGTCGTCTACTATCGCCGATTGCAGTCACCATCGCCGATCGCAGCCACCGTGGTCCACCTTCGTCGCAGTCACCATCGTCGACTCAAATCTGTTTGATGACACACAGATCTCAGATCTGTGTTGATTGATGATGCACACTCAGATCTGTCTCTATTTGTCTATTTTTTTTTTTTGGTAATGATGCATGTTGATGATGTTCTTGATCGATGATGCACACTCAGATCTGTTCACCATCGTCGACTCAGATCTGTTTGATGACACACAGATCTCATAATTTTTCTTGATGATTTTGTTGATGTTAAAAGTTGTTGATGATGTTGAAACAGATTTGGGCGGGGAATTTTCGGGGTCGGGGAAACCCGATCCCCGTTAGGGGGTGGGGATGGGGACGGTGATAGGTTCTTCATTGGGGATCAGAGTCGGGGCCGGGTGTAGACACCCCATTTTTGACCGTCCTCAAGACTTGGGCGTCACCATTGGAACACTTGGTGATTACCCTTGTTTGTGTTTGTCTTGAGTTCCCGGAGGTCTCGGTTGCGCGTCTTGCCTCAGGATTTCTCGACTCGACCGTGTTGTGTCTGGTTTTGCACCAAACACTTGTGTTTTGCCTTGGAGGGGCAGGGAATGCCTTGTGAGGCATCTTTATCACCGCGGTGTTCAAAACATGTATCGGGTGCCATGTTTCCATGTTCTGGGGCCGTTTTGCATCATATT